AAACCCTAAACCCTAAACCCTAAACCCTAAACCCTAAACCCTAAACCCTAAACCCTAAACCCTAAACCCTAAACCCTAAACCCTAAACCCTAAACCCTAAACCCTAAACCCTAAACACTAAACCCTAAACCCTAAACCCTAAACCCTAAACCCTAAACCCTAAACCCTAAACCCTAAACCCTAAACCCTAAACCCTAAACCCTAAACCCTAAACCCTAAACCCTAAACCCTAAACCCTAAACCCTAAACCCTAAACCCCAAACCCCAAACCCCAAACCCCAAACCCCAAACCCCAAACCCCAAACCCCAAACCCCAAACCCCAAACCCCAAACCCTAAACCCTAAACCCTAAACCCTAAGCCCTAAACCCTAAACCCTAAACCCTAAGCCCTAAACCCTAAACCCTAAACCCTAAGCCCTAAACCCTAAACCCTAAACCCTAACCCTAAACCCTAAACCCTAAACCCCAAACCCCAAACCCCAAACCCCAAACCCCAAACCCCAAACCCCAAACCCCAAACCCCAAACCCCAAACCCCAAACCCTAAACCCTAAACCCTAAACCCTAAACCCTAAACCCTAAACCCTAAACCCTAAACCCTAAACCCTAAACCCTAAACCCTAAACCCTAAACCCTAAACCCTAAACCCTAAAACCCTAAAGCCTAAACCCTAAACCCCTAAACCCCTAAACCCTAAACCCTAAACCCTAAACCCCTAAACCCCTAAACCCCTAAACCCTAACCCCTAAACCCTAAACCCTAAAACCCTAAACCCTAAACCCTAAACCCTAAACCCTAAACCCCTAAAACCCTAAACCCCTAAACCCCTAAAACCCTAAAACCCTTAAACCCTAAAACCCTAAACCCTAAACCCTAAAACCCTAAACCCTAAAACCCTAAAACCCTAAACCCTAAACCCTAAACATATGTGTGCTTGGAATATGTTTGATTCTTTGTATTAAAAAAAACAGCGGTGTCTTTCTTTTTCCTTCCAAGTATTTATGAATACAGTTTAAAGAAATTTTAGTCACCAGCTATTTCAAAAAGGAGGGAGCTAGACAAAAGAAAAGAGGTCTCCGCAGTACGATAAGAAGTGGATGGAGCAGTAAGTAATAATAGGGAGTGGGAGAGGGAGAGGAATTATATCGGTAGATGAGGAAACGATTCTCTCATTACAGATCAAAGGAGATGATGATGAATTAAAAATGAAGAATATGTTATGATATAAGAAAATATGGGTATTTCATATGCATAATTGATTCCATCTGCTTGAAATCGGAAGATAGTGTGGAAAATTGGAAAAAGTGTAGATAGAGTAAGGCACATGCATCCTTTGGTTATATTAATGAGAAAAAAAAGATAGAAGCTTCCTCGATATGCGCACGCATGGAATTGCGTTGGATATATTCTTCCTTGACTTTGGGCTTTATTGCCTTTTATTTTTCGCCTCTTCCGTCTCGTCCCACCCATATCTTCTTTTCCTCCAAGAAGACAAGGAGCTTTCTTGCCAACTGCCTTTATTTTTCTCTGCAACCAATAAAATAGGTGGCCGCGCGTACCTTCTTTAATTTATGCTTGGCACAACCATATGCCTTTCCTTTCCTTTCCTTTCCCTTCCTTTCCCATCCCATGCCATGCATGGATCTAATAATCTCCAATCAACTCATCACACACATACATCTCTCTCTTTAATTTTGTGCTAAGTCTTGTGTCTGCATGTACCGATTTAGGCCGTAATCCAGAATCTCTTTGGGCCTTGAAAAGTGTAGCCATTAGCCTCGTTCTTTGGAGATCTGAGGTAGAGAGATAAAGATCATTGTCGCATGAATAATATCCTACGCCTTTGTTTATTTTGGTACCAGAGGAGGAGTTGGTCGGATACTTTTGTTTGGGAAATCCATGACATAGACATTGTAATTGTAATTGTATTGACCCGGTGATATTCCCGATAGTTATGTCTTCAAATCCGATCATAGCGCTAACTAACTTTGACGCAAAAATTAAAAATTTAAAAATAAATAAAAGAAGAGTAATATAATGCTTATTGCTTAGACCACCATAACGAAATTGACTTGTTTTGGGTTGTACTTGAAAAATTAACAATCAATTTGATTAACTACTAAAGTATGGTATTCGTCATAATTGAAGACTTATCTTTCGTACAATTGATTTAACAATACATCATGAATCAACACTCTTTCAAAGCTTGCTCACAATGATAAGAATAACAAAAAATTATACCCATAAGTAAGTACTGAATTTAAAATCATAAAGTAAAATGAGTTTAATTACACGATAATTAACATCCACTTTTTTTATAAAGTTGAAAATGGAAGTATTCACTCAAACTAAAATACTTAACTGAAAACTCTGAACACTAAACGGATGATATTTTAACAAAATTAACCAAAAGGTGAAAGTGTGACCTGCGGAGCGCTTGTAAGAGACTGGTTGACTGTTTCTGCTGAAAGGGGTGCCCTTCTGGGCGACGGCCTCTGAAGCTTTAAGGACGCATTGTCATTGGTATCATATTTCCTGTGATCCCCTAGCATGCTCTCATCCGATCCCACTGGCTTTGCCTCATACATTTCCTCCAAATGACCTCTTTCTGCCAGCGTCGCACCAATGCTAATGTCTTTGAATTCATGATCTGCTTGCTGCGGCATTCCTATGCCTTGCAGCCGGAGATCATCCGGCCAGTCCAACGCATATTTTCCGGATCCGTAGTTTGCTGGTGGCCGCGGCTTCTTCTTTCCCAAGCACAGTAAGCTGTCGTTGTGAGGCATGAATCCATCCACGTTTTGCTGAAGATCCAGCTGGTGGCCTCCATAGAGGTTGAGGTCTTGAAATGAAGGGAAGCCGAGAGGGGTCCCAAAATCTTTGATACCTCCGCCCATGTCGCCAACACCTTGTTGATTATTATTGCTTGGGATTCCAGGCATGAGCTTGTAGCCCCCGGAAGCTGCCATGTCTTCACCAGCAAGGGTTTGACAAGCTTTCTCTAGTATACTCTGCATATATTTCCCTTGAGCCTCGATCCGCAACTGCAGGTGTCTTTGCACCTGCATGTGCTTAATTATATTCGTTGATTCATTTTCCTTCAAAACTATATATCGATTGTGAATATTTTGAGCGACCAAGTTTTTACCTCTAATTGTTCGTGCAATCTTCTCTGCACCTCCATTTGCATCCTAATCACATCAACCATGTTTGAGTTGCTACTACAAATGCCATTACACAATAAAATAAAATAAAATAAAATAATCGAACCCTGCCTTAAATTACCCGCAAATGATAAAATCATCACTACTTCAATTATGATATTTAATAGTATTATTCTAATAGCGAAGGAGGAAGAAAAGGAGAAAAAGTTATATTTATACTATTCAAATGAATTAACAAGGTAGAAAGTTGTTGCCAGAAATAGCTATATATATATATATATATATATATATTAATACACATACTCATTCATGGTGCGGTTGATCATATTGGATGAAGAAATCGTGTTTCGATGAAGTTCTAGACCTGAAGCTGAATCAAGAGCCAAATAGTCCATTTTGAGATGAAGACGTATACATATAATGGGTGTGTAAGTTAGAGGTGGAAGAAATAGAGGGAAAAAAGATGTGATACCTCGCATACCATCCTTAATTGAATGATCATTGAACTCCTTGTGAGGCTGCTTTCCCAGTCTAAATTTCTATGTTAGGTTAAAATGAAAAAACGTGGTTATCTTACAATATATAAGCTAGCGAAAACAAAGGTAATATCCATATAGTCATAAATAGATATAGGTGTATGGATACCTGGAGATGACTCTTGAGGTGGTAAAGGGTAAGACCCTTTACACCCATAACTCGCATGATGGTCTTTGGGGTTGCCTCTGAATTAAAATGAAAACAAGTTAATTATGTGATTGATATGATGTGCTAAAATGATATGATATATATATATATATATATATAGAGAGAGAGAGAGAGAGAGAGAGAGAGAGAGAGAGGTGGCGGAGGAGGAGGAGGAGAAATTAAGAAATATTAAATTAAAATTAGGTGGTAAGGCTTGGGAACTGAAGCAGTACTATCAGGGCCTCCGAGCTGAGTGACAGCATCGACAAAGCGCTCATGAAGCTCGACAGTCCAACGGAGGCGGGGCTTGGGGTCGGTGGTGAGGACGAGACCAGAGTCGCCTTGTACGCACACCCCTCTCTCGTGAGAATTCATACTCAACGCTTTCTTCGGATGGAACATTCTCTCTACCTCCGAAGCGAATACGGATAGATTCAAGAACAAATCCCACCCTCGAAATAGTAGCTGCCCGACTCACTTTGGCGGTGAAGCCCTTAATTCGCTTTCTTTCTCAGCTCAAAAGCACCTGACCCTCCCTCGGATTATCTTTAGTTTAGATAAATAGTATAAAGCAAACAATATATAATGTCCATTCTATAAAGATACCCCTTCTCTCTCTCCTCACCGTGTATGAGCCAGAGAGAGCCATTAATCAATAATTAATTAAGTAGTAAATAAAGCCAAATTTGTCATGCTTTATGTATGTATTTTATGCATTTTCAATTACCAACACAAACCTCATCACTTGCTAATACAGTAAATTATTATATTATCATCCTCCAACTCCAACTAAGTAGTATAAGTTGATTAATTTTATTTTGAGTTACACATCTTTTACTTTTAACTTCATTTTTACATTTACATTCCAACCAAATAAGATCTGTTCTATCCCACCAATGATAGAGATGTGTTTGAAAAGTTTAAACACACACATCATTTTGTCATTTGAATCAAAATACCAAACAAAAAGTTTCTCATCATACCATTATAATATTATGTCTTGTGTTATTGTGTGTTTAATTTTCAATTCTTGTATATTGGTGTTTACCTTCCAAATCCTACAATTATAATTGTTTATACCTACACCAATATTTCATTAATCTTTTTACCTATTACATTTTTCATGATTAAATTAGGTGAAGGGTTGAGTTATGATCGCATGTAAAATTATGCACATAATTTAAGGTATACTAATGATTCTTAGAAAAAAGCGATGGCGATGTGGAAATCAGTGTAAAATACAAAAGGGGAGAATGTTTGTGAAGCTTTTTATGACACAAGTGGAGGGACCTTCCCATCTTCTAAAGTTTTTAGTTTTAGACTAAAAAACTGACCCTTTATCTCTTTTGTCCAATTCAAGCTTGTCTTCTCTTCTTCCACTTCTCTTCTTCCACTTCTCTCTCTGCTCTTTCTTTCCTTCCATCTCTCTACAGTCCACAAACAAACAGATAGATTAAAGTTACCTCCATGAACACCCCCTTCAATACTGCTCCTTAAATTGAACGTCACATACACAAACACACATTTTAATAACCAATTACTTCGATTTCTATGCTATTCTTGTTTTTTCTGTACCCACTAAAATACAAGCATGCAATTGGATGCCATTTTCAATAAATTGGAATTGGTATCAATTCATTTTAATCTATCCAGCTAAAAAAGAAAACAAATTCAAACACCATCCATGACCTGTGGCTAAATCCAAACGGGAATAAATGCTTCTCTTCTTTACCAATCAATGAAAGATTCTTTTGGCGACCAAATTAATTTCACTCCACAAATTTCAGTACTAATTAATTTGTTCAATACACTTAAGGTTTTAATTTACATACAACAATCGGCTAGGGTGTACACATGCAAATTTCATAATTCAATTTATTCAACATGCAAATTTATTTTCCAATTCAAAAAAGTTGGAGTGGACACCGCGCCATTTGCTTAATACTTATGCCTCATGAAATGACTTTGGACACATATTTAAATATTGCAAGAAGGAGCATTTTTCAGAGGTTGATGGAATGTTCAAGATTCTTTTAATTATTTGCACTGTTCGAATGCTTAAAATGCTTGCATACTTATTTAATGAATTAAGCTGGGTGGGAATTTAAATTCAAAAATCAAAAGATCCAGGGGCAGCGTCAAGGACATGGTTGCTTGAATTTCAAGCATCGATCTTTATATAAATATTCTATTCTTTTGGATGAATATATTCCTTTGAAGGGGAAATTGAGGGACCTATCTTTAATTCAAGTACAGTTTGAATACTTTACTGCATTCTCATCTCCTACCTTTTTAACTTCCTACTTCTTCCCCCAACCAATGTGCACCCTTCAATCCACCATAAGGTGCGTATGCCTACGCATGGAAAACATCACAAATGAATAAACACCATCCTCCTTCAACAATATTTCATAATTCACTTATACCTTATTTCTTCTTTATTTTCAAGTACCTATAAATACATAAAATGCAGCTTGATTGAATGGTTAAGGTCAGATACTTTGTTCCTTTATATGGATTATTTGTTATGACCTGATTTTTGGAACTTTGAATCTTGAAATGTGAAGAAAATAAAAGTAAAAATATGGTAACATTTTGCGCACTACAAGTAAAACAAATCAAAATCGACTATGGGTGCTGTTCAAGTTTATTATAAATCAGGATCAAGATACAAATTTAAACCATACAAAAGATCCAAAATTCACCAAAGGACTTGTGCCTCGATCAACCTCCTCCATAATCACACAGCTCCTGAACTCTTTCTCGCCTAGACCAACAGTCAGCAAACACCTAAAAACGAAATGTAGAATGAGGTGAGTATAAAAATATTCAGTAAGCAGACTACTTGTAGGCTATCTTCGATCTAATTCTAAAAGCTATCACGAACTTTTCTCTAGGCCCTAAGAAGTTCGGACCTAAGATTTACAGTTATTTAAGATTATGGGAAGACTTCGAAGTTTCAAGCCGTTCTCATGTCTATCACAAACTCACTCTGGCTCCAGAAGTAGTTCACCCATCTCTAGCATTGCGGAGCTATTTTTGCTGATCTCATACTTAATAAGTTTACTTTGCTTTGGTAGTGAAAGACCAATATCCTGGGTAG